CCGCACATGCACAGAATGTGTTTCTGGTATTAGGCGGTGACGTCATCACAATGCCTCCGTGTGCAAAGCATCATGGGAAATGAAGTTTCTTGGCGCTGATGTGATTATTTGCTTTTCAGAGCAATTTAAGCACAGTCATTTTGGAGAAAATCACTGCATAGTAATTTCCTCATGAGGTCAGACCCTCAACATTCCCCCTTTTGGTTTCGGGGATCGCTTCCAAAGCTCAATCGTCGGAAGCACAGATGGGTGTGTCCCTCATGATGTTGTTCGACTTGATTGTCGGAAGCACAGATGGGTTTGTCCCTTAGGACGTTGGTCTCCTTGGACGCCTTTGTCTTTGGTCTTTGGTCTTTGTCTTGGATCCTGGCGCCTTTGGCCTTTGTCTTTGTCTTGGCTCCTGGTCAGGCACAAAACAAAAGAGGATAGGAAACGGGATAGTCCCCAACTCACATAACGAGAAGAAGCCACCCACGCAGGTGGTACGCAATGATGATGTCGTCCATGCGAAAGGTAGTAGTAGAAGAAGGAAGGTCGGTGGGCGGTTGACTCCACGAGGGGACACAAGGGCATCCGTCAGGGATAAAGGGGCATCTCACCGCCGGCCATACAGTTCAGTTCATGGAGCACGCGGTGATGTACGAGGTCCATGGTTCGCAAACGCGCATTGACCTATGTGGTCCCAAGATTCCCCCCTTTTTGGTCCAAAGGGTGGATCAGGACAGTCTTTGGGCTAAAACAAGGGCCATAAAACTAAGAGGTACTACAATATGCTGGTGCGGCAGACAGAGTCATTGACAGACTGAGCTGGGCCGGCACATAACCACTAGCTAAAATGTGACCAAGTAAGAAACAAAAATACAGAAAACCCAAAAACATATCATAACATCCAAGAAAATTCATAGCAACCTTGAGGTCTCATAAAATACATTCTTAAGTAATACTTTCAGTGTGTAGCTTATAAAGAATGTGACATAATGCAACACTCAGATAAAAATGTGAGGTAACTAAAGTGAAACTACTCTTAGGGTTACAGAATAACAAAGAAAATGTTGCGCACCCCCTTTAGACTGGTGTGGTACATTCATGCTTGGAGTTTACCCGAACACGGTCACGAGGCACACCGTAGGTGAGCAGGTGCATCTTATCTTGGAGTTTATTAACACGCCTGTAGGCAGAATAAGCTATCACGGCCGTGACAAGCCCTCCCAGCCCCAGGGCGACCAATGTGCAGATTAAGGTGGTATAATCTGTGTCTATGTAGTGTCTTGGGTATCTATTCATGGGCGTCAGAGTAAGTTCACGCGGGGTTTGTGTGAACTTAATAAGTTTGGTTCCTTCAATCAGCAATTGTTGGTCAATTTCTAAATTGATGGTAAAGTTATAACCCTGGAAAGCGTCCATGATCTCAATCTCTGAATCATGCTGTTCGAGGTTGAGGTGATGGAGTGCCAGGTTTCTAGTTCAAGGTGGATTTGCGAAAGGTGTACTGTAGAGGGGTAGCAGTTGTCAAACTATCTTTGAGCAGGTCCAGTGGTACCAAGTACGTGGGAATGCAACCTTCAACCAGGCTGTCCAGAGTAGAACTCATTTCCCTGAGCAGGTCCTGCATCAAATCTCTCACCACTCGTGTGTACACAATATCCTGATGTATGGTTTCAGACAAAGTCTTGATTGCACGTAGAGATTCATTAATCAGAGCAGAATGTAGGTTGACAGGTACCAGAGTACCCTGTAAGGTTTTAGTAAGAGCTTCCTGTTAGAGGTCTAGGAGGAGGAGTTTCTCTTGGTTAGTGAAAGGGATGGCGGGGGCCTTGTTCTTTGTCGGTTAGTACATGTTAGTGGGTTAAACATGCACTTCCCCCCTTTCCATATCCATGCATAGAACTATGTGGAGACTACGTCCACCTCCTGCGGGGAGTCTGGTCTCTGTACCCGCGGGGACGGTTTGACGTAGGGTTTGATTTGGTTTGCATGCACCCATTTGTATACAGGCTCCTGTCTGGCTTTGGTGATGCGTAACCTGTATGCAACTGGAGAGAGTTTTGTTTGTTCAGTGCACGATAGTCTATGGTGAGACGACACTTCCCAGTCGGTTTCAGAACCGGCCAGATGGGAGAGTTGTAAGTGGAGTTACACTCTCTGATGATGTTTTTCTCCTTCAGCTGATCGAGGATCTCCTGGATCGACTCATAAGCAGCGAGGGGAATCTTGTACTGATGTACGAAAGTAGGAGGGGCATTCGGGTTCGTTGGAATGCGAACCGTGTGCAGATTTGTGAGTCCACAGTCCAGGGATTCCCTGGATGAGATGGACTGAAACTCATAGAACAGGCTTCTAAGCTCTGCTCTCTGCTCCTCTGATTCCAGCGCATCCACTTTGTCAAGCTGCTGGCTGACTTCGGCCTCAAAGCCGTCATAAGGTTCAGAGGAGGAGGGTCTCTGGGGTTCCGGGCTTTCAACCGGTGACCCAGATGGTTGAGTGTTTATTGCAAAAACCGTTAGACACTGACCGCCGTCAGTATCTAAGGTCGCACTGCAAATGGGTTCCTCAGGAAGGGCTTCATGCCACTTGATGGTTATCATTTGTGAGGGGAAAGTACTGAATGTGTCTGCGCCAACCTGTCTGTCGTTCAAGAACAACGGAAGTTGTCCGATCACGGGGACTGAAAGTTCGAAGTCATGGAATGAGCTATCTATCAGCATGCCCAAGGGTTTTCCTGCCGGCATGTGGATAGGACTCCGGGTCAGATTTTCGACCAACAAGTAGGCAGAACGATTGTTCAGCTCCAAGAGTGGCGTGCCACAGACGGCTAAGTTGAGCTCCAAGAAGTGTGGTGATGGCTGGAAGAAGGCCTGTGTGCCTGGCAGCTTCTGATTCTTCATCAGAGTCAGACGAACAGGCACTCCTTTGACCTGTGGGGGCAGAACCGTGCTGGCCTCAACCACTGCACGGCAGGCCTGTGGAATGGTCTGACCGGACAGCAAGTGTTCATGGCCTTCTGAGTGAGGCTCAGATGATGGTGTGGCCCGGGCCCAAAGGACTTGATTGCAAGTGTCCAGCTGGGCACCTAGTCGAACCAGCAGGTCTGCTCCAATGAGTGCAGATGGATCAAGCTGTGGTATGATGCTGCATGTATGTGTGAGCTGTCTTGCTCCAAGCTGGATAGTCAGAGAGTAGACTTCTGGAGCTTTCAGGAGCCTCTGCGGCCAAGTAGCTGACAAGAGCCGGTGGCTACGTGTCACACTGACCAGCAGGGGGTCCTTCTGACGCAAGTGTTCAAACGTCTGTTGGCTGATGGCTGACTTTTCTGACCAAAGAGCAAGGCGAGCATCTGAGATGTGGGTGCAGTTGATGGTGAGACCACCAACTATGTGTGGTGCATGTGGCTGCAGGCTGATGTTCTTCAGCGAGCAGAGAAAAGATGAATGCGTGCGGAGAGGAGTTCCAGGAGCATTTTCGCACCTTTGCAGGTGGACATTGTCTGTGGGAGCCGTAGGGAGGGGCATGACCTTGGAACAAGGGTTTTGCGGCTCACTTAGACTGACTTCAAGAATGGAGGATGGTCGGCTGCTATTTGGATTCCAGGGCTTAGGTGTGTCCACCTGGGCCCACAGTTGACCCTTCTGGCAGTCTATGAGGGGAGCTAGACGTTCAAGCAGGTCCTGACCAACGAGAAGTCGTTCAGTGTCTAGCTGGCAGACATAAAACGGGTGAACCAGAGTCATGTCTTGGAAGGTGATGTCCAGCCACGCCCGGTGAGTGATACACTCCCGGGTCTGGGTGTAGCTGGTGATTTTCAGGTCACAGGGTTCTACCTGGACTGGTTTCCCGAGCGACCGCATGGTGTCCGACACGCGATGGAACAGTGTGGAGCACATCAGGGTGATTTCTGAGCCGGTATCCAGCAGAGCATCAACTTGTATGCATCCACCTACGTTGGTGCTACAGTACAAACGGCGAGCATGATCATGGTTTGTTAAGTCACCAAGGAACTTCAGAAATTTAGTATCAGGTTTTTCTGGGGGGTAGATTTCAGGAGACTCCTGTGATCTACCAGTAGTGTTCCCCCAGCTGATCAGGTAGGTCCTGGCCACGCTGGGGGGTTGAGCCACGCCTAGTCATGCGGACGTTGGCTCTGGGTCTGGCTTCTTAGAAGCAGACTTTGGTGCAGGGGTCTCGTCTGCAGATCTCAGCTGTTCCTTCTGTTTAGCTAGGAACTGCTGAATCATTTCCTGGAGGTCGGCTTTGGTCAAATACTCACCTGCGGACTCGCGTTCGGGACCTACCTGTGGGCGGCGCTCCTTACACCTTCCACTGTTCCGACCTGCCTGCCGTTGGTTTTGGTTGGGCCACTTCCTGTCTGATTGTCCAGACCTAGGTGGCTGCCAATTAGCACCCCCCTTCCCCTGTTGAGGGAATTGGGACTGCTCTCGTGGCTTAGCAGGTCTAGGTTTAGCAGATTTTGGCTTAGTGGGTGGAGCTTCTGTGCCTTCAAGCTCCAAACGCGGCTCGGCGTCGGGAGCTAGGTGCATGACGCGGTGATGTGCGTCAGGCTTTTGGGGATTTCCGCCGGCTTCCCAAGCCTGTTGAGCGTATCTCCTAATCTCCTGAGTTGTCAGTTTTTTTCATGCGACAATACATTAAGACTTCGGAGCGAACACACTCGTGTAGGTTGTGAATGAACAGGGATCTGAAGGCAGGGTCTTCCTCGAGCCCAGGGCCGTTTCGACCTTGGAAATAAGCACTTTTGAGTCGGCGATAATACTCTCTGGGGGGTTCGTTCCTCCCGTGTTTGATGGAGAAGGCCCCCATTGTAGCTGACGCAGTCTGCATACGTGGCGTATTCATCTCTCAACGCTCGGCAGAGCGAGGAGTACCGATCTCGAATGTCAGGTGGTAGAGTTTCCATAAAACCATGCACCGTTCTAGATGTGGTTTTCCAAATTAGCTTGAGCTTTTCCCTTGAAGAGGGTGCTGGAAGATCAAGCAGACAATGTTGACTCCTGGGGCCCAAATCGGGGTTCGGCATGTTGTGGCGGGCTGCTGGCACGTCACGTGGGTGTCTTGGGAGGTCCTCCTCCCGTGGCACGTCTGCGTAGTGCAGCCTGCGTCTTTCAACTGGGGCTTCTGCGTAATACACTCTGTCCGGGTACGGACTGGCATATGATGCTTTGTCCTGTAGCTGGTTATCGGCATGCCGAATACCGGAGTAGCTAGGATGGGTGGATGGTTGAGGTGCAGGTTGGGGTGCATAACCCCAATCGGCACCTTGCACCCTTCGTGGACTGGGGGAGCGGTCTAAATAGAGGTGCCGCTCAGCTGGTCGACTTCTCACTGATTGAGAAGGCCGTGAAGATGAGGGTGGTGGTCCAACCTGGGGTTCGAGGGCGAACTGCCCTCGGCCCCTAGGTGGTCCTGAATGCCCTAGAGTGTGTGTAGGGAACGGGCCAGAAGGTTGGGACAGATAAGCTTCATCTCTCCCCTGTGGCGTGCGTCCGTCCAGAGAGTCCCACACTACATACTGTTGATTATCGTATGGAGATGTATCAGGAGGTGGCCTACCTTTACGGCGGGACGACTGTCCCTCGCTTCCTCGGGTGGAGGAAACCAATTGCGGTTTGCCGGTCGTCCTGGGCGGACCCTGGTTGGCTTTGCCGGCTTGCTTTCGTACCGGTGTGGGAGAGGACTCTGGCTCAGCCTCAGCGTCGTGGTGTTTCCCCCCTTCCCACTGTCTGTTCTCATCAGCAGAGGGGGGCGGGGTCTCCTCCCCATCTTCCCCAGAATCGGTGCGGGTGTCGTCTTCCTCGATCAGCCTTCCATTTCGCTGTTTTTCAGCTAGCATACTCTGGAGGTTCATGATCTCTCTATCATGTTGGAGTCCTCTCTGATAGAGGATCAGGGCTAACTTAGCTAAGTGAACCTGGATTGGTTTTGTACCATCCGGGTTTTCTATTTGATCAATTACAGCGTCCAGCTGTTCTTCAGTGAAATCCCTAGAAGGGTAGTCAGGTTCTCGAGCAACAGCGACCAGTTTGGACAATATTTGTCCAGAAAGTAGGCCAGGTTCATAGTCGTGGGCCGCAGCGCCACCTGGTTGCTGGGAGTTGGTCAGTTCACTACTCTGTCCCTCCATTTTTAACAACCGAACCAAAATAGCCTAGTAGAGCTTCTGCAGATAGCTCAAAACTGCACCTTTTGGGCAGCAACTGCTAGCTTTGTAGCAGAAAACACTAAATTAACCTTTGTGCGCACAGGTTTTAGCGTTTTTTTTAAATTGCACGGAATGCCGTGACTGACGCTTAAAATACTATTCCTTTCAGTATTTTAGCAAAAGCTGGTGCGTTGCCGTAGCAACGTCTTACAACACTTGCAGTGTTAAATGTGCTAGTTTTTCCTTCAGAATATTAGCAAACAGGGTGTTATCAGTCTTTGAGTGAAGGTTTCAGTTAGTTATAATAGCCACTGTGAGTTAAAGTCGCTAAATTAGCAGTTAATTTTAGCCTAAAAGGGTTAGACAGAATCACTTACATACTGCACCTTTAATAAGGAACTGAATTTTAACCTAAAAGGTTAGCCAGAAATTATTACACGTTGCACCTTTAAAGAAGCACTGAGTTACTGGTGAGAGTTCGATGCAGCTTCCTGCTCAGCGAAATCAGCACCACTCTGTTGCTGGTTCAAGGCTGAACAACTGATTATTTTTAATCCAAGCTAAAGATTTATTTGTTTGTTTGTGCCGTATAGAAAATCTCTGTGTATCCGCCTCACACGGGCTGCACCAATTATGTTGGGGTTATTAGGAGCGAACAATTAGTAAGCGTTAACTTACTTTTGGATTCTTCAATAAATTCTGTAAATATGGGAATATTTACTGATTTATTAATTAATTAAGATATTCTTAGATATCTCCGGGGCACCACCCTTTAATTAGAAAGGGAAATGAACCCAAAACCTTATCAGTCTTTCTTGAAGTTCGTAGAATCCCTGGAGCAGAGACTTCTCTTCGACACAACAAAGCTACTGGAGACGAAAATCTGAATTTTATAACATTTAATTGAACAATTTGTCAAATGAATAAACAGTGGCATAAATGAATAATAACCATGTGATATAATAAAAGGATGTATATTCAAAATAATGTTCAAGGTGTTTTATGTGTATGTATGTGTGTGTGTGTTTCTAAAATGGAGTCTGTATACAAGATGGCTGACCCCTTTGTCTGGCTAAAGTGGGGGTGGCAACTTGCACTTTAACTTCCAAAGCACTTAGAATCAGTAGTAACTTAATTAACCTTAAAGAGCAAGTAACGTCTAAATTAACTTTTTTTTGCTGATGAACTGCATAAATGAGTGTCTAATAGTGTTTTAAATGTGTGCATTCTTTATTTTAGCATTTTGGTGTATTTTCTTTAAACATTAAAAATTCTGTCTAAAAATCACAGTAATGCGCCACCTTCAGCTGAAAACATAGAATTTGAGTCATTTTGAATAAATTTTAGCCAATGGCTAAAGAGTAAAGTACTACGTAAACCAGTAGAGTACTACGTAGCAGCTCCGTGCCAAAGTTATAAAAGCAACGAGCGTCTCGGCCACGCCCTGTGGCGAGTGGGAGTTGGATTTGCAAGCGAGCGTAGGAGGTCAGCGGTAGTTCAGCATTAGCATATAGCATTAGCATATCCTAGTCTTTAGCATATCTTTTAGTGTTATAAATACTTATTTAGTGTTAGATTAGGCTGTTGGATATTGTAGTTTAGTTAGTGTTTGGCTGTTAGTGTAATTGGGAAAGTAGTTCGGGTTTAGTGCTCCATATCGTGTTAGTATTGGTGAGTAGGTGTAGTGTAGTATGGTTGCGGTGACTCTGTGGGCATTTTACCCGCGATTCTGCACGTCTCCGTTTGAAGAGGGAGGCTGTGCCCACCGTGGCTCTTCCGCGATTTAGATGCAGCCCACCGACTCTGCTCCCCCACCACGGTGGGCTCCAGTCTGAGGTGAGTAAGCTAAATAAACGTTTTAACATCTTCTAAAGACAATTCCCTACCTAAATGCAAAGTCTGAGAGACGTGGTTCACTTCCTTTAGCTAGTCAGTCGGCGATTCTGCAACAGTGGCTCTAACTAACAGCACTAGTTGACAGACAGCATTACAGCGTGAAATCCAGCACAGCGTGACCCGGTTCTGTAAGGAATTCTGTTCAGGAGGTCACATTTCAGGCTCTCCACATCATGTGTGACTGACTTTTACGTTATAACAACGATCACACACTAGGAATGTTATAAAGCGCCTATATAGGAGATTCTTTTGTATATTATCTGACTTTATAAACTCCCAACAACAGTGTGCTTTTTTTTTCAGGCTAAATCTACCCAAGACACTGGCTGTCAGACTGATTTAGCTGCAAGAATGCACTTGTCCAGGCAGACGTGAAGCCTTACCTGTAGCAAAGGTGAATTATTTTTAATAATCTTCTATGTAAACATTTTATTATTACCTTCTAGTTTTAATTTGTTTTACAGATTATTGTTACACGTGATTTTATGCTATTTTAAACATTTATAAATGTGCTGCTTCTTTGTTTTTACATAGCCAGCCAGAGTGGAGTTCACAGCCGCAGTGTGTCTGGTGACCCACGGGGACCATGATGAAAATTCATCTTCCAGAAGGTCCCAGAGCAGCGGCCGCACCCCCTGAAAAGACCAAGGTGTAAGGTGTCTGCTGTTGATTCCAGCTTCCACCTCAGTGACAGTGCAAGCTCAGTGAACTGTTCAAGGTAAAAAAAAATTTAAAACATTTCAGAATGTTTAAGATATTAACAATTAAATAAGTATGTGATTACATCATGACGGAGGCTACTGATTCTGCCCCCGTGACACTTGGTGGTGACGTGTGAGCTGATTCACCTGGAAAACAACTTTTACATTAAATATTTTGTTTTTGCTATCAAAAGTAAATTAACTAATAACCTGCATTATTGCAGGACACTCAGCAAAATATGGACTCTACACCATGAGGCAGGCACACGTTAATATTCTATAAAAGCACATAAGGTGAGCAACACCACATATTATTGTACACTGTCCTGAATTTGTTTTCTTTCTGCATCTCATTAGCCTGGCTGATCACCTGATAACTCCTGTCATCTGGTTATGACAGCATGAGGATGTCCTCACACACCTTTAACCTATCAGCTCATCTGGCAGAATAGAGAGAGAAGAGACAACACCACATCTCCTGTTCCTGAAAGCCTTCAGCCATCCTTCGATGACTGAGAACCTCCATCAGCTCTGTCTCCTGTCTGCCTACAATTATTATAATAAATATTGTGTTTGACAAGTTTTTTTGTGCTGCCAAATATCTCATATAGATTCCAGTTTTGATATTTTAATGGATATTTATAAATTACATTAATTGAATTATCACATTGCATGTTTAACTAGCTCTATTGTGATGAATTAAACTAGCACCTCACTGTTAAAAGCTCGTTTTAATTTCAAGCATGTTTAAGTATTTATGGACATGAAAAAAAACAGGAAATATGTAAATTGAGATTTATTTAATTAATATAACAAATAAGGGGGAAAGAGTCATTGAAAGGCACATTCTTCTGGAAGCTCCTGATCCTGACCACACCAGCAGAGGAGACCAGCTGCAGACACCAGAGACCAGCTGCAGACACCAGACGACCTAGAACCAAGAGAGCAGCTGTTATTAGTAAATAAATAAATCAGGGCAGTTTTAGTGAGCTGAACACATTACAGAATAATTTTCTCATGGGGTATTTTCATAACTTTATGCAGCAGACTGTAACTTGAGCCCAGGGCTACCGGAGAGCTGCTATCCAGCACGTTTCAGTGGATTTTCCTGCTTTAACAGGTTAGATTAACTGTTAAGCAGCTCAGCTATTTGTTGCTGATTAAAACCAGGTGTGCTGAAGCAGATAAACCTCTAAAACATGCTGAATACTAGCTCTCCAGGGCCGTGGAGACAAACCCTGCAGCTAATCTGATGCTATGGCTAATGGCTACTTACATTCAGAGGTGGTTCTGTTGGGTCGGTTCTGGGAGATACAGGCAACTCACAATCTCACAACAATAAGGCTCAGGTCCGCTTGTCTCCTCCAAATAGACTTGGTCCTTTTCTTCTCGAGTGTCTGAGTAAGGAGGGGGAGAAACGTCCTCCATTTCTAATAACTGCATAGAGTGAAGGGAGCTAGCATCGTCTAGTTAGCCGTCGTCTTCGTCACTGCCGCGGCTCCGCCCTCTCGGTCCTCCAGGCAACGCCTACTAATGTTGCATTTTTTTAAATTGATACGTGTGTGGAGTAAGACTCCGAGGCTCAATTGACCCGCTCTTTAAATCACTCAAAACATTTCAAAGGATCATGAAACAACACAAAAGATTGATCACAAGTTAATATCTTTTAGTTTCACCACTTGGCCATAGTAGGAAACATTTAAAGATATTCAAGCAATGATAAATAAGCAGTTTATTCTTTCAAAATGACCCGACGGACGTATTTGGGAGCGAAAGAGGAAAACACGAAGCTACTTTTGAGCAATAGAGTGGTTTTATTGCTTATTCTGGACTATAGAGGAAACGGGAGAAGAAGGAGAGAGAAGGAGATGAGTTTCTTTTGTGCTGAGTTTGACAACTTACAGCGTCTCTGAGAGCTGGATGGAGCTCCGCTCGTTCCCAGTCAGGTACCGATGGAGTTGGAGTGGCTTTCCAGCGGTTGCGTGGCTCAACTTGGGCACTTAGAGCTTCCGCGTGCTCAAGTTGTCAGAGCGTTCGACAAGCGTGTCCTTACCGCCAGGTATCCTGGGCAAAAGAACGAGGTTCCTTTGTCTTTCCTGATGATTTATAGTCTGAGTTCGCGGGAAAGCTCCGTGACTCCCGCACATGCACAGAATGTGTTTCTGGTATTAGGCGGTGACGTCATCACAATGCTTCCGTGTGCAAAGCATCATGGGAAATGAAGTTTCTTGGCGCTGATGTGATTATTTGCTTTTCAGAGCAATTTAAGCACAGTCATTTTGGAGAAAATCACTGCATAGTAATTTCCTCATGAGGTCAGACCCTCAACAGATCTTTAAGTTGCCAGGGGCCTCGTTCATCAAACGTTCGTAGAAATGTTGCTACAAACATTAATACATACTAATTACAACCAATAAGATGAGATGATTCCATACAAATATGAAATATCAATCTGATTGATCTTTCAGTGTTTAATCAGAAGATTCTAGGGTTCTTTGCTTCTTCAGGGACCATGAACACACTTCGTATTAATTCAGACAGTCAAGTTTATAAAGTCAGTTTAATTATTTTTCCTAAACTAATGATTTTTACATGACAAGATATGAATAATGAGATGTGGTGCGGTGGATGTGAGGTGGTGTGATGGAAGCTAGGTGTTGTAGCAACCGTTCTTTGTATCTGAGAGAAATTGTGAAGTCTGGGTGTAAAAGAACGTGTTGTTTGTTATAAACTAGAGAGTTGTTTATTTATAAATCTCATCAGATACCAGTGTGCAGGCGTACAATACCCTGGTATGAGTTGCTCCCGGCGGTCCAGAGGGCTGCGGTCAGAGTGGTGAGGTCACCGGACGTCGAACCCACGATACTCAGAGATTAGTAACTTCCTCTGAGTTCCCCGGCCATGAGATGCAACCCGGGTCTGCAGGTTAGGTGTCCAAGGTGGATGTCTGAGTTGAAGTAGCTCTGAAAAGCTGTTCTGTCTTTAATCACTTGCAGTGTCGCCGAAAGGTTTTAACTTAAGGTCAAAGGAGACGGTGTCAAAAGAGGCTTCTTTCCCGGTTTGGCCGAACCGGGTTCGGCTGGAAACTGAACTACTCGGGAATTCTTGTTTTATTAAACAACTTTGTTATGATTTCTGGCCAAGTTTGGCAAATCAGATTTTGACTTGTTTCTGAGTATTTACCAACATCCCTCAGAAAGCCACGCCCTCCTTCAGATACAAAAATGTTTTAACCTTAATGAGTATCTTATTGTAATGTGTATGAGTGTAAACGATGATTCACTTGTTAAATCAAACACAGTGATTTGTGATATAAATGGATCATTGTAAGAACAATATCCATCTTAAATTCACTGATTTAAGCGCAGATTATTCAAACATTTAATTTAAACATCTTGTTCATTCATCACATATGATTATTTAACATCGTGGAGGTTTCACTTATTCAGAGAGAAGAGTGTTGATGTCTGGCGTTCACACTGTGAGGGCAAGAACCTTGGGAGAGTGTTTACTTGAATGTTTTGTCTTCGTGGAATGTCAACACGCGCTGAGCAGAACCTTCTGGATTTAGAAGGTCACCTAGAAAGTGGATGTATTTCTGTAGATGAAAGGTTATTATGCTGATCAATATATAGGAGAAAATTTACCCTTTTGGACGTTACATATTCCTTCCTATGAACAAAATATGGAATGTTTGTACAAATGGTAAAATTCCTGACTTATGAAACATGTGGTGGCCTCTCGTAAGCAAGTTCCTCACACAATCGTCTGATGATAAATCCTGTGCGTACCCAGGTGCTCGTGTTCGTTCACAGTCATTTACACACAGATACACCCTCAAGTAACCATATTTGGTCATGCTACGTTTCAGCTTGTGAGGGATTCCCAGTGTTCCTCTCCACTAAAACGAGATTGAGACACTCGCTGCCGAAGTGCAAGAGAACCAACCGAGGTGCAGAAGTTGTAAACGTGGTCGGAAAGAGAAGAGGTTCCTGTCTGGAATAAATGAAAATGGTTCCACATAAAATTGAATGTGAAAAACCATAGAGTAACGGCTTGTCATTAACATTTAAGGAGTTGTTCTGTTTAGAGTTGGTTTCATTTAGAAATGTTGTCTGAGAGTGCAGCCTCTTCTGAGCTGTCCCTCAGACCGGTTACCTTGGAATAAAGAGAATGCAATTAAATATGATGATGTGGCATTATGGAATAAATATCGCAAAGTGAGAAATTATGTTACCAAACTAAATAAAAGTAAGAAGATAATCTATTATCAAAATAAAATTAAAGAGGCAAAATGGATAATGCATGTGTATGGGGTACATTAAATGAACTATTGGGAAAGAAAGCTACAACAATTCCACCTTTTTTGGAAGTCTATGGGGTCTTTATTACAAAACCAAAACATATCGCCACACATTTAAGCAAATTCTTTAAGGACAAAAATCAAACCTGGAAATCTTCCATGAATCAAAAACAAGATAATGACATTTCATGTAGAATGATAAAAAAAGATGATGGGGAGTAAAGGATGTACATTTAAATTTGAAAAAATTACTGATCAGACTGTTAAGAAGATTTTGCTAACTAGTAAAGATACACAATCAGGCACTGATAACACTGAGGTAAGGCTCTTGAAGTTAGCAGCAGACTTTATTGTTTCCCCGCTCTCATATATAATTAATTTAAGTTTGGAGTAAAGTGTATTTCCTTCACAATGGAAAAAGGCAAAACTTATTCCGCTGATTAAAAACAACAAAGAGCCCTTTTCAGGTCAAAATAGTAGACCAATCAGTCTATTACCTGCCGTGAGTAAAATCATGGAGAAGGTAGTTTACGAACAAATTCAGAGTTATTTCTTGGTGAATGGGTTAAATACAATATATCAACATGCATATAAAAGGGAGCACTCTACCACCCCAGCATTAACTCAGATCACAGATGATTGGTTGCAAGAAATTGACAATAAAAACCTAGTTGGTAATGTGCTGCTTGATTTAAGGGCAGTTTTTGATGTTTTAGACCATAACATGCTTCTTAAAAAGTTGAGGTGTTATGGATTGGAACCTTCTTCTGTAAAATTGCTTGACAGTTATCTCTGTGATTGACAGTATACCGTTTATTTTAATGGGAGCTACTATGAGGCTGAAAGGATGTGTTGTGGAGTGCCCCAAGGTAGTTGTTTAGGACCTTTGTTGTTTTCCATTTTTATGAATGACTTGCCATGGTGTTGGATTGTGCCACCATGGCAATTTATGCAGATGATATTACATTATACGCACCAGCGAAAACAGCATTGCAACTTAATATTGTTCCAAATAAGGAACTAGAATCTGTTAACAGATGGATCACAGCAAACAACTTGATAATAAACACAAATAAGACTAAATGCATGGTCATAGGATCTAGACACTCTTTAAAAACGAATTCACTCTTAAGCTTGACCTTAGATGGTACCATTGTTGAACAGGTTGATGAGTTATTGGGTGTTATTGTTGATAATAAACTATCCTGGGTGAATTAAATTAACTACCTGTTGAAAAAAATGGGAGGAAGTACGGCTATTATCAGACGTTGTAGGAAATTAATTCCATTTCACTTAATTAAGAAACTAGTTCAGTCACTGGTGCTTTCACACTTAGATTATGCCTCTGTGGTTTGGTCCAACACCAATGAAAATTGTCTAGACAAGTTATAAATTGGACAAAACAAGGCAGCGCGCATTGGGGAGTCCGTACAGAACCAGTGTAAATCTGTTACACATTAAGTTGTCCTGGCTAAAAGTAAGAGAGAGATTGGAGTTTTCATTAACAATGTTTATTAGAAATATCATTACGACAAAAACTCCAAATGTAATTTATTCCACCTTGTCTTTTTTTGTGGATAAACACGATTATTCCACAAGACAAAGTATGCCTGGACGATGTGTGTTACCTGCGTACAGAATAAATCAAATGCAGAAAACTGTGGTCTATCGTGCAATGGTGCGCAGTACCAGGATTTCTGTTGAGGGAAATTGATGAAAAATGTTTTCAGAAAAAACTCCAAATATTTTTATTTTCCCAAATAAAATGTCAAGCTAAACATCTTCTGAAGTGAGCTGCATTTCAAATTTTAAGAATGTATTTAGTTATGTTTGGGCTTTTGAGAATTGAATTGAGATTTTTCTACACTGCAATACTATGTTGAAATTAATTGTGTGTGTGTGTGTGTGTGTGTGTGTGTGTGTGTGTGTGTGTGTGTGTGTGTGTGTGTGTGTGTGTGTGTGTATAAAATGTAATGACTGTATGAGATGAGACCCCAGGAAGAATTACTGCTGCATGTCAGCAGCTAATGGGGATCTTAATAAACAAACGAACCTTGGAAACGTGACGTGTATGATCGAGGAGCAGAGGAAGTTCTGGGGGTTCTGGTATTGTAGAATAAAATATATACTGGAATTGGATTTCTGTTGCTCCACAAGTGTCCCAAATCACAGCACAGCTCCAAAAGGATCTCCTTCAGGAATCAGATCAGTCACGGAGGACACGTTCACTCCGGACTGAACACTCTGCCAAATCCACCAATAACACAAGATCAGCCATGATATAATGTCAGAAACACAAAAATAACATTAATAACGGGACCTTTTGTTTAAAAATGTTTAATAAAGCACTAATTAACATTAATAAAGGGGCCCTTATTGTTAAGTGTTATGCATGTATCTTAATTCATACATGCTTATTTTAATGCCTGGTGTATTTGTGACATTCACTAGTGTTTGATGGATTTGGTGCTTTTCAGGATGAGTTTTTTTTACACCCTGTGATTATCTCGTCCACAGATGTTTTATCCAATCAAGACCCATTCTTTTGATTGGTTGTTGATTTATGAATGTATTGAAAAGTCTGTTTGTTGCTAAGGATGGTTTCAGATCTAAATGTGTCCTTGTACCGTTAAGTCCAGATTCAAATAGAAGACTTCTACTGCAGCGAGGGCTGGTTTAGACCATTCAGCCATCGTTTTTATTTAGAATTTTCATATCACATTAGTTTGAATTGCTGTACTATAAAATAATCATATAGCGATGAAAAGAGCAAGGTATACAAACAGTTCTGATTTTAATTCTGTTGTTGTGTAATACTTAACATCTCAACAGTCTTTTATGAGTCTTTTTGGTTGTTTTTTCATGCTTTATATATGTTTATTGTTTTTGTTTCTGCTTTTGATCATCTTCACCTGCTTTTATTTAGTTATTTTATCATTATGTAAAAAAAAATTTTTTGGTTGAGAGTTGACAGTGATGCTCCAATGGCGGCACCATGTGACTGGTGAATGTTAGAGAGCTTGAGAATAAAGAATGTAAATTTATTTAAACATATCAGTGAATGGTTCCAAATAACATTAGAGCCTGATTAAAGTGCATTTCAGTGAAGAAAATTTAGAATGAACCACGAAAAGGGAAAGAATCAGATGTTAATTAATTTGTTTTGTTCTCTGTCTCCGCCTAGATGAAAAAAATCACCTGAAAAATGCTTTTACTGGACTGGCTGCAGTGGCAGGATTTCTTGTTGTAACTTTTATAGCAATAATGTCCCAGAAAATGCTCAAGAGAAAGCACAAAAATAAAAGGTAAAAACAAGAAAACACAAGGAGAAACTTTTTTGTAAACAATTTTCTAGTTTGTTTGGTTTGAAAAGTTTCTTCTTTGTCTCTCCTTGTATTTCTGTTTCAGATCAGACAGTTTCAGAGATGCTCAAAGTGAGCCAGTACAAAGCTCCTTTTGAGCAAACCAGTCACCCCCCAGTCCTCAGATGGAGAAACAGCTGTCAGAGGACAAGAAGTGGAAAATTCCTCTTTATTCCTACACATGGAACTAAGAAGCAGACATCAACGCAGTAGGGTGTTTAATAAAATTTTTAAACATAACAACCATTTAATAAAGGCTATGTGACAATGCATATTTGCAGCTGCTATTTAGTAAAATTTAAAATGAACTTTTTTCTTTTTTTTTCTTTTTTTCTCTTGACCAAATTTAAAGTGAATAAGTGTGTTTTATAGGTTGTTGACATTTAAATAAACTGTCTTATTAAATTGTTACATGTATGCACAATGGATTGCAAATAAATGAAATAAAGAATATGTTATATAAAAACATTGTTTATAACATTTTTAATTGATTTGAAACAAGAAGCATGTATTAAGTGCACTTACAATAAAATATTACGTTTTGACTACGGGAGCTGCCGAGTGTCAAATTTCACGTTGCCCGGCTGTCTTCGAGGACCAGTGTCATGTTACACAAGCAAAAGGAACATTTCCTGTTAAGATTTTTCAAAACTAATCTTTGCAATGACATTATTTTGGTATCGTTTCGCACGTTTGTTAAATCAAAATAAGTAAGATAGCCTAAGATGAGTCTAAGGCAATATGTCTAATTTACTTGCTAATTTTATATTCTGTATAAACATTGTTGAATGAGTCAGTGCATTGCAAACATGATTGTGATTGTGATTGTAACGTCAGTTAAAATGGATCATACGTATCTAACAAAAATCATTAGCATAATAAAAGAAAAGCAGTTGATATTATTAATTTTTGGCTGAAAGATGGAGTCTTCTTCAGTCTAATAGTTATTATTATTATTATTATTATTATTATTATTATTATTATTATTATTATTATTATTATTATTATTATAGTTGTTGTTGTTGTTGTTGCTTTGCTTTATCACCTAAACATTTGGTAATTATGTTTACCTTTATGTACTAAAATAGTGGTTCCAAATTACTGAACTAACCAAATGCTGGTTAAATATTGGTTACATGTGTACGAGTTTCTCAAAAAACAAAGTTTTCTTTAACTTAAAAAATGTTTTTTTCAACAGTTCATTTTGATTAAGCCTACAAAAAGGTTGTTTAGTTATTGTGTTGGTTCTTAGTAGCTCTTTTGAAGTCTTTTGAAGATGAACAGATATTCATGCTTTTAATTTGAAGGCGTCATTCACAATTTCCGGTTGCGAGCCATCGTGAATCTGATTGGCTGAACGCAGCTCGTGCCTTTTGATAAAGAATCGGTTTTCGGGGTGAAGGCAGACATGGAGGAGCTGAGCGCCGTGGGAGAGCAGGTTTTTGATGCGGAATGCATTTTGAACAAACGAACGAGAAAGGTTCGAGTTAGAAAAAAACTTTTATTGTTTTGTTTCCTCTCGTGGCGGCTTTTGACTAAAGTCCCTTGTGTTTCGCTGTTTTAGGGAAAGTTGGAGTTTCTTGTGAAGTGGAGGGGATGGTCATCCAAGTAAGTGCAAGTGGTGCTGCTGAGGCCGAAACAATGAAAACAACAACAACGTGTCGCCTGATGCGTTTAGCTAAACGCATCTTTTATTTACCACGGAACCGAATCTGACCCGTAATAACAGCAGGGACTTTTTATTAACGGATTAGCTCGTGGGAGCAGTTAGTTTTTAAATGTAGCTCACTAAGTGTTGCGTCTTTTGTTCATAACATCTGAATTCTCATTTAAAGTTGATGGATATTTTCTATGTAGCATTACACGAATTTATTTTGCGTTATTTAGATTTTTGCGATGATTTATTTTGAAACTTGTTTTTACCAAATTTGACTATGTAATGGTTAAAATATTAATGATCGTGAATTAACTTATGATCATAAAACTGAGATTTTAGTGATTTTATTAATTAGTTGTTGCATTCTGCAAGTCTACACTGTACATTTGAATATATATGACACTTTTTATACATCAGTGCTTTAATCCACCATCAAGCACACTGTTGCCATGGTTTTCTGTTAGAACCACATCCTTTGTGAGTGTGTGTGTGTGTGTGTGTAAGGGTGGGGGTTGATTACTTCTCTGATGGCTTCTGATCACTATGTGTCTTTCAAATCTATTGATGACGGAGCTAAATGTTTGTCTTGGTTTTACAAACGTGTGTAGGTAAACTTATGAAAGAGATAGATCTGTGAGGAACAGATGCTTTACAGGTGTGTTGAAAGTATTTGACCTTTAACTTTTTAAAGAAATGCCCAATAGTGTAGATTTGGAATAACAAGTGGACTTTGCGTCAGATAGTATTTTACAGGAATAATTCAAATCTTTTGAAATGTCTTTCTGTGAAAAGGTGAAAACATATTGTTTCCCCTGCTGAAGAAATAGCTTTACACAACTAAAATAAATGTTTCAATTCTGCCTTTAAATATATTAATCATTACTGTTAATCGCTGAATAAATGTTATATTAAAACAGCTCTAATCTCCAAAATTGTCTAAATTAACAAAAAATGTTAATCATCTTTTATTTCAGTGTAAATGAAAAATTGTCAATACATGCTATGCCTGATACATGCTCTACACATGTCAACAGCATCACCAGATGAACACTCATCAGATAGAGATCACACACTGGAATTTAAAATATCAAATGAAGTTATCATGTGACCACATGTTGGGTATAGAGGAATTAAAATGTATCGATTGGCTAGAGCTAAACTAGACGCCCAGGAACACATGTTGTTTGAACTGTTACAGAATATATGCCACCAATCTGATCTCAAGAGTAATAGCATCACACCGTGTCCTCCAGAAGAGTGATCCTAAAGTTTACTGACCATCAGGGTTTAGCGTTTTACATTAAAAAAGTAAATAGGTATAGTTACAAATTACTTTTTCCAAAACATAATTGAGTTAGTTACTCAGTTGCCACATTGTAAAAGTAATTAGTTAGTTGGAATGCACGTTTTCCAAAATGTCTTTAACCGGTTATTGGCATTCCTTAATGATTAATAACGAGTTAACTGGAAACCAACCAACCACCCAACCAAATATATTACACCCGAGCGCAGCAGAAGGACTTGAAGCAGTTAACCGGGCAACTATTTTACCTGGTTATAACACTAACAACAATTAACCAGTTAACTATGTACATTACCTTCCTAGCAAAGTAACTGACATTACTTTAAGTTCTAGAACCCCGTTATGTTCTAAAATATCTTTAGTGTGAAAGATGTTTTCATCTGAATGATTCTGACCATCTTGGATGAGCATTGCGGAGATGGAGGAGTATGAGGGATACTTTTGTTTGTGTCAAAACAAGTCTCTGCAGAAAAAAAGTGTGTGTGTATATGTATATATATATATATATATATATATATATATATATATATATATATAATATGACTAGGGCTGCACAATATATCGAAAAATTATCATCATCGCGATAACAGGACGTGCGATAGGCCCATCGCAAAGCACGTCAAAAACGGCGATAAATGTTTGGTTCAAACATTTCCATCTGTGTCATACATCACTTTTTGTAAACCAGCTCTGTTTTTTACGCGGAAGTATTATTTGACCAATCAAATGTAGCCCTTCTGATATGTGGCCAATCAGATGAGTCTGTTCACGTAATACGCCCGCCCCCTACGTAGACCCTCAGAATGGGTGGAACGCAACACCTGAACTGAGTTAGCGGCGCCGTTCCCTTGTTCGTCATGCTGGCTCAGAGCAACGGACGCACTTTGTGCTGATGTTTCTGGATTCAGCGCTGCTTTCAAATGTGAACGTGACTCAGCTCGGTTTCGTTAAGCAGCTGATGATAACCGGGCTGACTCCGACACGTGCCGGTGAACCAACCCACCTTCATGTCGCTAGTGTTCCACCGGGTGGTGATGTTAGCCCCAGGCTCCGGTTAGCTTCCAGCTAAAAGGCTACAGCACTCTCGTCCCAGTCCCACCCTGCTAAAGAGGGCCTGGAAAAGTTCCCCCACACATCAAAGTGATTTTTCATTTATGAGCATTTATACCCTTGTTAATCAGGATAGTTGATTTGCTGCTGCACATAAACTGTCAGTCAGAAGCTCTGCTAGCCGGTTAGCTTAGAGGAGCTAGCTCAATTTGTTAGCTTGTTACCAGAATCATAGTTGCAGTTTCATCATCTGAGCTGCTTTTTAAGATCTAGGTAAACTTGTTCAATTTGGGGTTAAAAACAAACGTTTTCACATATTTTACATGTAGTTTTTTGCCAGTTCCTCTTCTGAAAGGTAGACAATTGTTTTTCTCTTTCCCTCAGAAAATCTTAATATTCTCCTAGTTTGGCCCAGCACAGTTCACTTCCCAATTACAGCAACAGCCTTATATCATAACCACATAAGTGGAGAAAATGCTCAGTAGCAATGAGAGAATTTGCTGTCGCATTTAAGTGATGTTAACTATTATTTAACATTTAAACGTATTTTCAGATATTTTTATTTATTCAAAAACCCTGGTAAGGGATGTTTTTCTGTATTTGGAGCATCAGAAAAAGTTTTATGGTGGAGGTGATGTTTTAAAGTCACTGAGAAACTGCATGCATGCAGTTTGTTGTTTTGCTGCTAATACAGTAGCAGGTACAGCTACTAATACAGTAGCGGGTACAGCTGCTAATACAGTAGCGGGTACAGCTACTAATACAGTAGCAGGTGCAGCTGCTAATACAGTAGCAGGTGCAGCTGCTAACACAGTAGCAGGTGCAGCTGCATATTTTTGCAATAAAAATGTTATCTTGTAATGGAATTCATGCATTAGTTTTTGTTTGCTTTGAACCCAGAGCAGACGTCACACGCCAGATGACATCAACACTGCATACTTTAGTATTTGTTCATTTATCGCGAGTAATATCGATATCGCAATATTAAGCACTGTTATCAAATATCGTAGGTTTTCCTAATATCGTGCAGCCCTAATATAGACCCAATAGTAAATACATGATCTTGAACTGGATACGGAACTGTATTGAAAAAGGTGCTTGGATAAAACGGTCACTTGTTCACAGAAGCTGAGGAACAAATAGCCTGCATTCTTATGTAAAATAGGAAGGCCAACAGTGAGTACGTTTACATGCAGCCAATATCCGGGTTATGATCGGGTTAAGGTCGGGATTCAGGTTTCTGAGTTGATCAGAATAACCCGTTTACAAGCATAAATAGAAAGAGTTACCTCTAACTTGCATAACCCGATTTAACTGCAGCCGTTGGGTAGGGCTGGGCGATATGGCCAAAAAATAAAATCTCCGATTTTATTTGCTTTAATTCGATTTCCGATTTTTTCCGATTAACCCCCCCCCCCCCCCCCCCCCCCCCAGAAAAGGACACCAAGAAGTACAGACAGCAGACCACTTGAAGCTACATTTGCTATTATTTAATCAAAAGCAAAATGTGTAATGCTCTTCAGGGATGAATAGTGAATAACTGAAAACCCTCTTGGAATCAAAGTGCCAGGTGTATTTTGAGTCATACTCTGTTGTCTAGACTGAAATGAGACAAACATTCCCATTAGAGTAACACCATTTACTCAAACATTAACAATACATTCAAATACAGGTAAAACTAAACCAACCCAAACAGTGCGACAACTAACAGGGATAAATGTATCTTACTTTTCAAATCCAAAAACAGAAAAAAAATCATCTGTCTTTAACTTGCATTTACGGTAAATGATTTACTTTGCATATAATTTTAAATAAAAACATAAGTGCAAAACTTCTTTCTTGGGTAAAATACTAATGTAAACAAAAACAAAAATTGCAAAGTAAATAATAGTCAACTCCAACTGAAACTGATAAAGTGCCAACTTTGGTTAAAAAAAATAACTTTAACAAACGATTTGTGTCCCTGAATGTAGAAACCGGAGAGAAAAATCACATTTTGGTTGAGCTGCTGAACATGAGATCTGTGCTTAAGTTTTCGGTCAATAACATTTACACATTTTTGGCAAGGAAAATCAGCCTGTCCACTGCCTCTGGCTTGAGGCAAGCTCGGCTGCATGTGACAACTCCCCCTGCCACACTGAATAGCCTCTCAGATGGGGCACTTGTTGCAGGGATACTGAGGTATTTCTTGGCCAGGTGACTGAGCCTTGAGAAGTTTGATTTGTTGCTCTTCCACCATTGCAGTGGATCAGTGTCAGGATCTACCTCTGGCATAAGCAGATAAGTTGCAAGTTCAGTCTCTATTTTAGCCTCTTCCGACTGGTCAGGGCCAGGGGTTGGCACACTCTTCTTGAAGAAAGTTGCTAAGGTCTTTTTCCTCTTGGGATTTGGCTGAGGCCTTGCCTCTTGGTCCACCTGCACAACTGGACCAGGCTGTGGTGTGCTTTTGTCAGTGGGGAAAGACAGAAGTTCACTGACAGCTCTTCTTTTGATTTGCTCCACCTTGTCTGGGTCGATGTAGGATGTCCGGAATCTTGGATCCATCAGAGAGGCCATGTCCAGCAGTTCATCTTTGACAGGATCGCTGTATTTGTTAACAAGGTATCCCAGTATGTTGCTTTTGATTGTTTTGGTAAGCTCTGTGTCGTTGTCCTCAGGCTGCAAAAGACTTGTTTTGAACAGATGGATAACAGGCTTGATGTATGAGACACTAACATACATTTCCCCTGATAAAGCATCTGTAAAATCTTGGAGTGCTTTAACCGCCTTGTTTACTGACTCCAAAACCTCGATGTCTTGCCAAGAGGGCACGAGATGGCGGCTTTTAACTTCAGACCCCAGGACACGGGCAATAGCCTTCTCCTGTTCCAGGAATCGTTCGATCATCTTTTGGCGGGAGCCCCACCTGGTTGGAGGTTCTACTATAAGCTGATGAGAGGGGAGGCCCAGCTCTGACTGAGCTAAACCCAGCTCTCTTCTTTTCTTCCAACTGTAGGAAAAAGCAGCAACTATCTTCTTGCAAACTCCAATGGCTCGGTCTATGCGGGGATCCTTAACACCATTCTCTGTATGATAAAGAATAAAACACAAAGACATGCATCACTACTGGGGACTTGAATAAACAACTACATCCACCTAAAAATGATTTCTTCTGTATGTCTTATGTATGAACACAGTAACTCCTGCAGTTGTTACACTGAATATATATTTGGTGTATATTATTTTTATGTTTTAATCCATGGGCAGAACTTTGCAGCAGCACAGTGATAAATAAGCACAAATAATATTAACATATTTAGAAGAAAGAGTATTCAAAAGGACACATGATTAATATGAGCAGAATTCTGTGCCATTAGTAACTGAATTTGAATTACTCCAGGTTGAAATACAATTTTCAGTTTCAGAAGCAAATTTAAATAAGCTAAACTGAACCTGAGGGGAGGGGGGTGAAAGTGAGTGTTTGGAGGCTCAATTTGCAGTAGAATAAAATACATTTTTAAACCAAATTCATCCATTTTCAAAATACAAAACTCAATTTCAATTTAATGACAATCATTTCCAAACTGAACTTTGAACTTTACCCTCTCAACAGGAAATCTTTATTCAACTTTCCAGTGTCAAACTGGTAGCATTTATGTTTACCTGCCGCTCCTGCAGTGTCACACTCTAAAACCTCCGGGCGGAACACAAACAATATTGCAAGTTCCATTGCTACAGTAGTGAAAGACGAGCGTCATCCAGCTTGGCTGTGGTTTTGATGTGCTCTGTCGAAATGTAATATTTTATTTTACTTATTGTCAGACTTACCGATAGCGTTGTGTAGTTTGTGTCCAAAGCACTGGAGGTTTGGCCATCCGTTCACTTTCAGGGCTTTAATCACGTTGGTCCCGCTGTCAGTCGTCATGCAGGAGAGACGATTCTCAGACAGGTTCCAGCAGTCAAGAGCGTCTCTCAGTCCTTTGGCGATAAGTTCACCGGTGTGGTCCTCGGGAAAGTATGACGTTTGGAGGGAAATACTACGTAAATCCCACGCGTTGTTAATGAAATGCACCGTTAAACTCATATAAGGCTGCATTGTTCGACTGCTCCACATGTCGGTTGTTGCCGAAAAAAAGGACAGCTCCTCCAGTTCTCTGCCAACCTTTTTGCGTGTGTTTCTGTACAGCTGCGGCAAGACTACTTCACTGAAATACTTTCGGCTGGGTAGCTCATACCTGGGATCCAATGTTTTCATCAAATTTATAAACCCCGTCTTCTCCACGGTATATATGGGTACCATGTCTTTTGCTATGTACAAAGCGACCGCGTCGGTGATTGTAGTCCACCGGGCCCCTTTCTTGTCATATGCGGTCCCCTGTGCGAACGATTTGGCTACAGTTAGCTGTTTTTTAGCCACCGGTTCTTGGTCACTGCGGCTCTGTTCGTCTCGGAGGGACTGGCATTTTTCGTGTTCGGCTTGATGCCTCTGTTTAAGGTGTTGAAACAAGTTAGTGGTGCTGCTGCCTTTGACTGCGACGGGTTTTAGACAAAGGTTGCAGCGTGGGGTCTCTTGTTTTATGTCTGTTGCAGCAAACCCATACCAGTTCCAAACAACAGATGATTTTATCCCTTTCTTCGGAACAAACTTCCCACTCTCACCGCCTTCACCGGTCGCCATGTGGTCGCTTGCTGTCTGTTGTTTTGTGTGTTATCGCTCGCTCGTGGGTGAGGAACCTGATGCTACGGGACCTCCGGAGGGCCAAAAAGCGCCATTACAAAAAACTCGATTTACTTACTTTATGAATCGCCCGCAAAAAATAATTCGAATTAATTCATTTGATCGATTTTTCGCCCAGCCCTACCGTTGGGGTAGTGTCAGGACATATGGACTACGTCCAGACGCAATATGCGTCATTTCCGGTTCTTCTCGTTCCAGTATCCGTGAAAACAACAACATGTTTCCCAGTTCGGAAGAGATAGCGACCGCGTTTGTTTGCGCTTCCGTTTCCTCGTCACTCCAAGATTGTGGTGCTGTGCCGCGACTCGCCATTTTGCCCCCAACTTGGTGTTTACTTCCGGTGTTCTGGCGCATACAAGACGTCTCGCTACTCAAAAGACCAAGATTCCTTGCGAACAGAGCATGCGCAGAACACACGCTTTGATGGGGATATCCCGGTATGCGTTTACACGACCAAACATTCGGGTTAGAAAAGGGTTACTCCAGGTGTAGTAACCGGGTTTTTAAAAACCCGGTTATGAGCATATCCGGGTTCTGGGCGGTGTTTACATGGCCGTGCGGAACCGGGTTATTGTGAATATTCGGGTTTTAAAAGGGTTACTGGCTGCATGTAAAAGCACT